GGGGGCTGTGGTGTGATCAGGAAGGGGGAGAAGGGATTTTGGGTTAGGGCAAAATAGGGATTTTTAGATTTTTAGAGAAATCCTATAGGCTAGTTGCTGATTTAGGTTTGATTTGGCTTGATTCATGAATTTGTTATTGCGTGATATTCAACGTGGCAAAATTAATTGTGACTTGGAATTGTAATTTTTCACGCCATCCGCGTGTGTTATACACAACCAATTTACTACTCTTACCAGGTGTGCAATTGTTGTAAAAAGTAAAATTTAAGGTGTCACAAGATCATTATGAAAGTAGAATGGGTCACAAGACCTTTTTTTGCACATTCAGGAGGCAAATGATGTATTCGACCTTTTTTTTTTTTAACTAGTTCATGGTTCTTTTTAGTTTTTGTATTCCTTAGTTTCTGATTACCTGAATATAATGTATTATTATATTTATGTCTTTCATCTTATGTTGATAACTATTCAAATGTTTTTTCAATATTTATTTACCTTAGTTAGTTTAACAAATACACTTCATCATCTTAACGATTGCAATTATAAAGATTGTACTCTGACAAATTTAATCATTTTATAATTTCACTTTAATGAAAAATAAATTGTTAAATGAATTAAATTTCATTATTTCACTCTAGCAATTTGAGATCAGGCTAATATAACGTGTTGCCTTATATTAAGTTAATATTAGATTAGAAACTAAAAGCTTAACCTAATACAGCTTCTTGTTTGTAGCATAAGTTAACATCACAAATCTCTTGAATTGTAAAACTAATTACAAATTCCATAAGCAATGACAATCTCAATTTCAATATAACTTACCCTTTTATTTTAACAAGTTCATCAATAATTCACTTTCATCAATTACAAAATAAAAAAAAATTAACTTTGTTATGGAAAAGATTTTTGATAAACAAATGGTAATAACCATTAACTAGCAATATAATAAACACTATACCAGTAAAGCTTGCCATAGCCAAAACAAAAAAAAAAAAAAAAAAAAAAAAAAAAAAAAAAAAAAAAAAAAAAAAAAAAAAAAAAAAAAAAAAAAAAAAAAAAAAAAAAAAAAAAAAAAAACCTTAAAATTGACATAAAGAATTACTACTTCTAGCTTATTAACATCATTCCTTCCAAAATTCCCAATATAAATTCATTTACATAATCTTGTGAAAGTAACTCCTCGGGAGTTAACCTCTCTAAAGATATTGTCTCTACTGAAAAACTAGATCATTCATTAGTTTTAAACGAACTAACATTTCCATAAGAAACAACTTCCTAGACTTTGTTGCTGATACAGAAATTATTATAAGCAGAGTACACTCCTCCAAAGTGCCAAATGAATAATATAAATTGTTCTTTACACTTATTATATTTGGAGTCACTTCATGCTCATGATTAATAATACAAGTTTTTTGCCTCGAAATATAACATAATACTTGTTGTTTTTAAAGTTATTCTTCCTTCGTGAGCTATTTGCCATATTTGAAGTTTTTCTCAAACAGTTGAAACGAAAATAGTTTTTTCTGGTATGAAATTGTAGTCTATAATGAAAAGTATTAAAACATCTCAAATATTTTCTTACTAAACTTTTCCAATTCTTATAGAAAACATAAATGTATGCATTGGAAACAATCAAAAACATTTATATATTTATATAATTCTGAAGCAAAAAAATATTTTCAAAAAGCTGGCATGCATTCTATCCTTTCAACTTTTCTATTGTTCTTTTTTTCATAAATTTTTGAGCTTTTCTTTTTCTTTACATAAATAATTTTTTTATTTATATCATCTATATTAATTTATGTAAGTTTTTTAGAACTTTATATATATATGTATTATGTACTACAAAACAATCTATTTTAAATTTCAAATTTAAGAGATTTTCTATAAGACATAAATTATATTTATCTCTTTATACTTCTCTTTTTACCTGCTAGCTCTTTCTTTTCCTAAAATAAAGAATCAAAAGTTGAAACAAAAAATTAAAGATTAATGGGTTTTTTTTTCTCATTTTTGCATTTATGTGTGTTTTCTATCTCTGTAATGATTATGGTTTTTACTTTTCCTTCATGCAAGATGATTTATACCAATAAGTGAATGTTATTGTCTCTCGCTTGCGGTGATACTCTTTCTGAGATTTTTGTTTGGATAGCTAAATTAATAGCTATTAATATATTAATTTTTTCTTTTTTTTCCCCTTGTCTTCCTGTATTTCTTCTTTATTATTTTTTTTTTGTTCATAACTATTGGGATTAGCAGATCGTGATCTTGTACATAAAATTGAGAAAATATGAAAGAATCGACGACATATGGATGAGATTTTATTTAAATTATTTATTATTAATATAAATTATTTAAATTGAAAATCTCTATCTATATATATATATATCGGTACAAACATTTCATTTAAATTGTTGAAATTATCTACTATTTACTGTCTATGTTTGATTTTATAACTACAATTGTTATTAATTCTAAAAATATTTTTTAAATTTAAAAATGAATAATTAATTATGGTAATTAAGACTTTTAAACTCAAATATTTCAATTTAAATTTAACTACTTATCTATTTATTTGTTTATTTTATCTAAAAAACATAATTTGCTAATGATAACTACATTTTGATTTGCATGCTTTTCTCGTTCAAAGAGAAATAAGGCGGCATTAAGGAAGGTACTAACATTTTCTCAAGGAAGGTATAACATTTTTCTCCTTACAAATATATATATTTATATATATATATGATATTAATATATATATATATATATATATATAATTATATATTATACTATATAATATATATATATTTCCATATATTTCCTCAGTTCATTTCATTTGATTTTGCTTGATGTTTAAATTTAAAAATTTATTCCTAATGATAGCAAAATTAATAATAACTTATGTTTATTTATTTCTTTATTTTTAATATAAAATAACTATGTTTTTTATTTTATTTTTCTTTTCATATATTCCTCTTCTATTTTGCGGAAAAAAAATTAGAAAAAAATACGTTACCTATTTTTTAAAATTTAATTTTTTTTCCAATTATAAGGATTGAACTTTACAAGAATTATCTCATAGCTGTTTTTTATTTTCACTTTCAAATCAAAACGATATTCAAATGTTTGTTGCAAATCATTTTTTTTCAAAAAAAAAGTATTTTTCTTAAAAATATCAATATAATTCAATAACAATATAATTATACAAAACATAAATACCCACAAAAAAAATGACTCTTTTAATATGTAATAAATACAGTTTATAAATTATTACAATTTATAAACTATAAAGCACAATATATAGTAACAAAATAGTAAAATATATAATGACAAAGCAATCAGAATAATGTGCAGATCTCCCCCTAGTTAAACATTGCTCTACAATCCAAAAATTAATTTAAATTTCAAAATTTTTTAAGTCCTTTGTATCCTCTGTCAATTGCAGAAGGTTATTTTAGTCTATGTTGATCAAAATAGTAAATCTAAATAGCATTACCGGAAGAAAAAACATAGTTGCAAAATCTCGACTTTGCACATTGTAGTATTTACCTTTAGAATTAAAAAGAAATGATTCTTGAAGATATGAATAAAGAGTAAAAGAGTTTGTAAAAAGAAGCGCTTTTAGTGTTTATGTACCTTGAGAATTTCAAAAGAACCAACATTATCTATTCTATAGTTTGAAAGTTTAGGGATTAGGAGCCAATGTCCCCTCCAACATCCATTTTTGGGTGTCAAATAATTAAAATCCTTGTATTTATATCCTTTGTGATAGAGCAACCTAACATTTTTTAAGAAAGACAAAATAGGAAAGCTACAGGCCAAAGAGAGACAGACAAATAAAACACCATGTTGGAAGATGGAAGCTCTATTTCTAGGGCCCGAAAATAATTTATAACGTTGATTCGGTTCGATTTTAAAAAAATTAGTAAACCGGTATTAGGTAATTTGAAAAGTAAATTTTATAGAATGAAGATAAATTAATTATTTTATTGGTCCGACAATTTAAATGGAATGGAGTAAGTAACTCAATTTGATACTAAATCTAACAAAACGTGATGCCATCCTTTTCTTTTTATTTATTAGAAAAAGAATAAATTCCTAATGCTTTGGATGCCAAGAAATTTATGAAACCATAAACATTGGACCACAATAGCAGAACATGCTAAGCTACTTTTTACGGCTGACCCCTCCATTTATATGCAACAGTTTAGGTCCACCACCAGAAAGCTTTTCATCATCCTCCTCATTGCACAACACAACACATGCACTTCCTACTTTTTTTTTTTTTTTTTTTTTTTTTTTTTTTAATGCACTTCCTACTTTTTTTTTTTTTTTTTTTTTTTTTTTTGTTTTTACCACTTTCTATTTTTGCCCTAATTTATGAGATATCCACAATAAAGTACATGGTAACTGGCTGTTACCCCACAGTAACTAAATTTCAAATTCAAATAGTACTTATATATATCATGCATTAAAATTAGTTTATGCTTTAAACCTTTGTTAGTTTGGGCTTTACCCAAATAAGATGTAATTTTATATATATCATGCATTAAAATTAGTTATCGCTTTACCTTTGTTAGTTTGGCTTTACCAAATAAGATGTTAATTGAAATAGTTTATATATATCATGCATTAAAATTAGTTATCGCTTTACCTTTGTTAGTTTGGCTTTACCAAATAAGATGTTAATTGAAATAGTTTGACTTTACCAATAAAATGTAATTGAGATGAATAATCGACATCAATCCCGTAAAGATAGAATTCAAATTAATCCTTTAAAAGCACATTTTGTTGAAAGAGACAAAATTTAAGGTGTGTAAAATTTTTACACAGGTGAATTCGTATTGATTCTTCTTGTATTAATATAATTATTTTATAAATGAATAGACTCATCAAAATTATACCCATTTCAGTCTTACCAACCAATGCTATTTTTCTTCTTCTTTTTGCAAGAAAAGACAGTGAATAGATCACAATTGATATGAGTTGCTAAAGAGGAAACATTACAACCAACAATCTCAAAGCAACTTAAATATCCCAATCTGAACAGATGAAAAGTTGCATCAAAAGCAAAAGCAAATGTAATAATTACAACCACCATTTTCCACCCAACAAGAACAAATAGAGTAGCAGATATCCATATCCTCCCCAAAGTATTGATGAAAAAGCTAAAAATAAAAAAATAAAAAGAAAAAAAAAAGAAAAAGAAAACTAGTACAAAATGGGAAAAAGAAAAAAAAAAAATTAAATGACAGTTGGCTCCTAACTTAAAGAAGTTTAGGTCCAAATCAACCATATGACAAAGAACAAAGATTAAACATGATGCAATGAAGATCCTTTTAAAATCCATGGAGTGATATGATCATCTCACCTAGATGAGTTATCATCCACATCAACTACATCCAGCTGTAGATCTTGCTCTTCCCGTTGACTGGAACGACATAGCTCTTCAATCCGGCTGGTTACTTCGGACATTGACGGGCGATTATCAGGGTATTGAGCTGCACAATCTATTCCAAGCTGCAAAAGCTGAACCATTTCCTCCTCTACATTCTGATACCTAAGGAGTTCAAGATCAAACACCTCTGAAGTCCATTCCTCTCGAACTATGGACTGAACCCACCGGGGAAGATCAACACCTTCCTCATTCAATAAGGCATGTGTCGGGGGCTTCCCAGTGAGCAACTCTAATAGCAATACACCGAAGCTATAAACATCAGCTTTCTGGGAAACTCTGCGGGGATCAGTCACCTCTGGTGCTCGGTATCCGGCGACTCGGTTGGGGGTGGAGGAAGGACCAACAAGGTGAGCAAGTCCAAAATCAGATACTCGAGCTTCATAGTTCTGAGTGAGCAGGATATTGGATGATTTAATGTTTCCATGGGAGACATTAGGACCTTGAGAGTGCAAGTACTGGATGCCGCGGGCAGCTCCAAGGGCAATACCAGATCTAATTTCCCAGTTTAATGGAGTCCTGCCAGCTCCTTTGTTTCCTGTGATAGAAGTTAAGAGATGATGGTGAAAATAAAGCCACAGAGCAAAATACAGTAATAATATATGATTCAGTTTAGGAGTTTTGTGAGATCAAATATTCTTCATGGAGATTGTTTTCAGGTTCAGAGCTTTTTCCTATCACCTAATTTATATGTTTCATTCCTGAGGAGAAATTCAAAAGGAATCTTTGAAAGAACAAGATTACATATGTGGAACTGTCGGTTGCACATAAGACAGTACAGTTTCATGACAATTAAATTATGCAAAACAAAGAGTTACTAAAATACTCCACCTAAAGGGAATAATTAGGCATCACCCATTATTGAGTTCAAGTAAATTTCAAACAAGAAATGACAAATTATATTGACTTTCTGCTCATTCACCAACACCCCACTGTTCTGCAGGAAACAAGAAATTTTAAGCAAGACCATGAATATATATATGTGCACAAAACAAACAAATACTTCCATAGCCTCTTTGTGGCTACAAAATCCTTAAGCATAATTCAAAAAGAAAACCTTGCGATTTATAGAATCTGACAAATAAGTCCATAATTTCTTGGTAAAGATATTCAGTTAAGAGAGATGACCAGCAGCACCAGACAGGAGGATAAATACAGTTTCAACTTTAAAGTTTAACCCAAAAAATTTAAAGAAAAAGGGTAATTATCTTCAAAGGTGATGATAAGAGAGATCTCAACAATCATTCTATAAACAATAAAAGGATGGAATAATAAGAAAGAAAGAGGCAAAAATCCTAAAGAAATACTTACCGTGCAAAAGAGCAGACAAGCTTCCCATAGGCATGTAATCATAAACAAGCAGCTTTTCATCTCTGCTATAATAATAAGCTCTTAAAGGGACCAAATTTTCTTGATCCACAGCTCCCACCATCTCAATCTTCTCCTTGAATTCTCTATCAGAAATAGTTACATCCTTCAATCTTTTAACAGCCACAATAGTCCCCACCTCCAACACAGCCTTATAAGCAGTCCCAAATGTTCCCTTCCCCAACACCTCTGCAGAGGCTCTCAATAAATCTTCTAAGTCAAACACCCTTGAAGCCTTACCAAAGAACACCAACTTTTTAGCCCCAGCTCCGTTCACTTCCCCTACTCCTTTCCCATTCCCCACCATTGCAGCCGCTGCAGCAGCCGCCACTGAATACCCATTTCCATTTGCATTCTCCAACTCTCCAATTGGCTTTTCTCCTGGAATTACAAGTTCTTGTTGCTTAATAGACGCAATGTCTATCGATCTTGACTTCTTGCTACCCTTCTTTCTACATAAAAACATCAAAATCAAAACAATCAAAAAGAAGCCAATTACAGATCCAATCACAATACCAGCAATAGCACCACCAGATAGCTTCTTTCTTTTACTTCCATTGCCACTGTCTGTTGGTGAACTTGGCACAACTATGCTACTACTATTTTCAGCAGTGATACAAGCATTAGCTAATGGTTTCCCACATAGTGAATTACCCAAAAACGAACTCGAATCAAAAGCCTTAAATCTTTCAGGTATAGACCCATTCAACACATTATTTGAAACATTGAATTGCTCTAACTTCTCCAACTTCAAATCAGGAATTGACCCAGATAATCTATTGTTCTCCAAGTATAAAGTCCTTAATCTTGTGAAATTTTGGAAACCCGCCGAGATCTCGCCGGTGAAGTTGTTTTCACCTAGATTGAGACGTACAAGATCACGTAAACTAAACAGGAACTCTGGGATCTCGCCAGATAACAAATTTCCTTGCAAGTAGAGGTTCCTGAGATTAGCACAAGCAGCGAGATCTGAAGGTAGCTCACCAGTTAGAGCATTGAGACGGAGACTAAGAGTATGTAGTTGAGTTAAGTTAGCGAAAATGCCGGTGGGTAGTTGGCCTGAAAGTGCTACTCCAGGAAGGCGGAGTACAACAACACGGTTACCTTCGCAGGTAACTCCAGCCCAAGAGCAAGGAGACAACTGGGTAATATTCCAAAAGAGAGTACGGCCGCCGACTGAGGAGCGTAGAGAGACAAGCGCCGCCCGGTCGGCGGCGAGATCTGGTTTGGAGAAAGGAAAGGAGTTGAGAAGGAAGAAGAAAAAAAGAAGATTTTTCGTAACCATTTTTTGATAATGGTTTGAAAGGAAGAGAAAATGTGTGTTTTTAATGTCTTTTGAGGTTTTGGAGGTTAGGACTTAGGAGAGAGGCATTGTCCGAAGAGAGACAAGTAGAGGAGAGACAGTGTATGAGTTAGCAGGGAGCGAAGTGTATAAGTTATGGAAGAGAGAGAGAGAGAGAGAGAGAGAGAGAGGGACCATACTCCAAACATAAATATAAAATTATTTTTATTTATAAAAAAAATATGACATAATTTTGTTTTATTTAATGGAGACAAAAATATATATATTTTCCATACTCCATAAAAGATAGAGCTATTTCAATTTTGGTATATGACTCCATTTGCCCCCTAAATTTAATAGCACAATAGTAAAATCTATTTGAAAATAATTTTTTATATAATTTATTCTCTCAATTTACATCACAAGGAAAAAGCTCAATTTTTTTAAACAATAAATATTTAATTTAAATCAAATATATTAAGATATAATATAATATAATTAAAAGTAATTAAATGAAAAATTATAAATATTCTTCAATCTAGATATTCAATATAATTAAATATTTTTCTAATTTTATAAATCAAATATTTTATTTAATTATTTTTTAAATAAAATATAAGACATTGCAATTTTTATTGTTATATTTTTAAATATTTTTTCTTTTCTAATTTTAAAATTTTAAATAATTTGTGTAAAAAATATTAAAAATTCTTTTGAAAATTAAGTTTCTTGTTCTTTTGATGTAAATTTAGAGAATAAATTGTTTAAAAAATAGATTTTTACGCAAATTATGTATCGCTTTCAAATTAGGTGAAAATCAAACTTTATTCCTTCAATTTTCATACCACTCAGTCCCCAAAAGATAAAATTTTTAAAATATACGGAGATTATGCTTTCTAATTTTATCAAAAAATATATATAATTAATAAATTAAAATACAATTTTTACTTTTAATTGCACCTTTCATCTCATAAAAATAGAATTACTTCATTAAAATTAAATAATTCATAATTAATTAGATGTAATTTAATTGGTCTTCTCGCTAATTTTAGGGGGTAAAAAGTGTTTACAAATTTGGTGAACTAAGGGGTTAATTACTTTTATTGTATAGCTCACTATATTATTCTACCTTATTGAGTCTCTCAATAACTTGAATAATTTATATTAAATTATTCATAAAATCGATCAAAATATAATTATTCTGTCTCAAAATATAAATTATTTTTGTGTGATTATTTTGTCCAAACATATAAATTGTCTTGAGTATTTTAAGAAGTAATAAATCATATTTTTTAATATTACCGCTATTTATATTAGATACATCGTAACTATATTTACCTTTTAAAAAAAATTATATTTACAAGTTACTCTTAGTTTTGAGGTAAAGACTAATTTGGTTGAATTATATTTGATTTTTTTTATAATTTATAAGAGTTAATTTTTTTTTAATCCCGTGTAAAATCTTAAGCTATTTATATTTTGGAACAGATGGAGTAATTTTTTAATAAAAAAATCAAAATAATTAAAGTTATGAAGTTAGCTAATATAGGTTGCAATAATACTCATGATTTTGTCAATTTCAGATATTGGTTAAATAATGACAGGATAAGAAACTATAAAATTATTCTCCTACAAAAAGGGGAAAAAATTAATTTGAGAAAAATGAGTTTTTTTTTTTTTTTTTTTTTTATTTGTTATTAAATAATGACAGGATAGAGAAACTATAAAATTATTCTCCCTACAAAAAGGGGGAAAAAAATTATTTTTGAGAAAATGAGTTTTTTTTTTTTTTTTTTTTTTTGAGAAAAATGAGTTTATCTTTTATAAAGATGAAGGGAATATTAAATGATTCAATTTAACTATATATTATATATGAATATATAATTTAGAACAATATTAATAATGATTGTTGTAATATATTTTTTTTTTTTTTTTTTTTTTGAGAAAAATGAGTTTATCTTTATAAAGATGAAGGGAATATTAAATGATTCAATAACTATATATATATAAATATATAACTTTTAGAATATTAATAATGATGTTGTAATATATTAAAATTTAGAAGTGATGATGTGGCATTTTATTTTATTTTCATTCTAACTAGTCTTTTTTTTTTACATTTAATAAATATCAAGTTTTTTTTATTAGATGATAGATTAAAAACTAATACTATTTCTGTTCTATAATATTAGTCACACTTGGAATTTCATTGTCTCCTAAAAAGCATTAAATTTTTTTAAGTTACAATACATTATCGAGTAAATTGATTATATTACCCTTAACTTAATGTTAATTCTTTAAAAAAACTATTAAATTGAAATGATAATTATTGGTCATGTACAAAGAGTAAACACAGAAAAAAAATATTTATTACTCCTCGAAACTACAAATATGAAAATTATTTTGGAACAAACTACTTTCTTAAACGTGACAAATAGTATGAAAGAGAGATAGTAGATATAACGAATTTAACATTTAATAAACATTATAAGTGATAGAATCTAATGGATGTACAATGAATAACATTAATTAGATAATGAAATTACAATAATGTAGTTAACTAATGGAATTAAAATATAATTTCAAATTCATTGCATTACAATTAAAATTTTTATACCTCATTTAATTATAAAAATATGAATAAATTCATAAGCATTTCAATCGAAGATATGAGAATTTCAAAAGGAAAAAAAAATATATAATTACATCAATTGTATTACAAGAATTTATTGTGACAATCAATATTTCAGTTTATTGCTTGAAAATTTAAAAAAGAGCATGTGAATTTATCTTCTATTATTTGATCAAATTATTTAAATTAAATCAATACAAATATATACTCATAATAATTTTTTGAAAAATTTATTTCACATAATTCGTGTGTTGCGCGCGAATACACGGCTACTTACTCTATTAAAATTAAATAACTCATATTAAAAATAAAGGGCCATAATTAATATATTTTAATATAATCAAAGAATTTCTTTTAAACACCTATTATGCTACATAATTAGTATGTCCATTCGTTACGAATAATAAAGACATTTCATTAGAGATTAACAGAAAAATAAATAAAAGGATTAAATATATAATTTACTTTCTATACATATGCATATAATATGCAGGTGTATTTGTCCCTCGATGCCTCTGTTAAAATATTTATTTTCTAGGACAGAGTGTAAGAATGAGTAGAAAAAAGGAAACCCTAGCTGTATCTGTGTGTTCATGTTACTGATAAAGCGTATGACTACTGGACAGAGCAGTCAACTGTTTGCTTTTTAACCTTTTCTTTTCTGAAAAAAATGAATTTAAAATATAAAAATGGAAATATTATTTTAGAATTGTCTTTTTCTTTTCCTTTCTTGTCCTTCTTCTTCCTCCTCGGTTTTTAATTTTTTTATTTATCTGTTACTGCCAAAGCAAATATTGGAGTGCGGCTGCAGTTCTCTTTTTTAGTTGCTTTTGGGTCTTCTGTTTTGGCTTTTTCTTTTTTCGGATATATTGAAAAGAAAATTTCTCTTTTTTTTTTTTTTTTTTTTCTCTTTTTTTTTTTTTTTTTTTTTTAGTTTACTGAATCTGTATTTATATGTATCAAGTAAATGTAAACAAATACCATCATAATGAGCGTGAACTAATTACCAGGTCACAATTTTTATCCTATTCGGGTCATAGTTATTACTCGTAAATCGGGTGACGAGTTTCAGCTACTTATATAAAATGAAATATTTAAAAATATTTAAAATAATCCATTTTTAAAAAGAAAAATTAAATATATTTCATTTTTAATTATAATTAATCGCTTACAATTTATATTTAATACTTATGATTTAATACTTTTTAAAAGGAAGCCAATCAACTTTTAAACTTTAATCACTGTAAATTAAGAATAACAAACCAACAATAAACAAAAGAGGAACAAGATCAACCAAAGAATAGACATTAGTTGCTAATAGGTGTGCAACTCTAGTTGTTGACGGCTTAACAAAGGACACAAAACAATAGTCTAGTTCTTTGAGAAGGTATATGCAATCAGAAATAACATTACCAAAATAAGAGCCATCCGCATTTTGACCCTGAAGAACTTGCACCAGGAGGAGGGAGTTTGACTCAAACATGACATGGCTGTATGAATTACCTTTTACCTATTGAACCGAATGATAAGACTAAAAGTTAGTTATTTTCAGATATGTACACAGCTAGATTAGCTTTATCTCTTGTAAACCTCTTGTGCTTATCTATTGTAACTGTAACATATTTATATAAGCTTATTGAGATGAATGGAAATACACAAGTTAAACAGCCATTATTTGTGACTGAGATGAATGGAAATACACAAGTTAAACAGCCATTATTTGTGACTGTGTTTTATGGTATCAGAGCCGAAAACCCACTGGTTTTCATTTTTCTTAGACTTTTCGTATTTTTCGTTTTGAACTTGAGTTATTTGTCTCATTTTAATGGCTTCTTCATCCAATGTTCCAAATCTCACTCACTCCCTTGGAAGAACTCTTATTTCTTTCAATGCGTCTCAATTTCCATTAAAATTGACGCAGCAGAATTATCCTGCTTGGCGCGCACAGGTTCTCCCTGTTCTTAAAGGGCATAACTTAATGGGATACGTTGATCGATCTCTTAAGTGTCCATCTCCAATCGTTCTTACAAATGATAAAGATGAAATTAATAAAGACTATGAGTTTTGGATCTGTCATGACCAACTAGTTTTGGCTACCATTATTGCAGCAACAAGCTTTTTCGTTATGAATATTATTTCTTCTGTTGAGTCCACAGCTGATGCCTGGGAAAAGATTCAAACATCTTGTGCCAATAAGTCGGCTACAAGGATTCTCTCTCTTAGAGACAATCTGACCAATCTCAAGAGAGAGTCTCGTCCTATTTCTAATTATTTGCAATCGGTGAAAGCTATTTCAGAAGATTTAGCACTCTCTGGGAATCCAATTTCAGATATTGATTTGGTAATTCATGTTCTAAATGGTGTAGGATCTGAGTATCGTGATATTGCAGCGATAGTTACAGCTCGAGATACGGTTATCTCCTTTGAAGAACTTCAAGACAAACTCCAAGCTCACGAGTTATATCTCAAAAAGGTTGATCCCTCGTTTGATTCCTCACCCATCACAGCCAATTTTGTGCTAAAAGAACCAAC